AAATAGGGAGGATTGACATTTGGCATTTTGCCCCCAGACCACATCAAATTGTCAAAAGGATCTTGGAAAAGGGTCAGATAGTGTGTAAAACATAAGCTTTCACCTAAGTAGTTCAAAGCATGTAGGAGCTAGGATAGTTGGAATTCAGTTCAGTCTCTGCCTCTGAGCAGTTAGGGGACCTGTTGGATCTTCATATGTCTCATCAGGGACCCATGTGGTAATAGCTACAGCCTTTTCATCAACACCCTCTGGGCTTCTACTCTATGTGATATGCACACACAGCTGGACTTTCTGCCAGCCAGAGTGATTTGTAAACATCTCACAGTTTTGCTTTCCTTTCCTTTTCCTTTTCTCCTTCCCTGCTATTATTTTTCCTGTCCTTTTATCCTCCATTTTCTCCTTTTCTTATACAAATATTTATTGAACAAGTACTCTTTGCTAGATATTGTGCTAGCTTATAGAGACTGTATTTATTTCTGAAGAAAAAATATATTATTGAGCATTTATGACACCAGTCACCTTTACTTACAAGGACTTTACAAGGTAGGTGTCAGCCCCATTTTCTCTGTCTCTCTCTCTCCCCCCTGTGTGTGTGTGTGTGTCTATGTGAGAGAGAAACAGAATTAAAGGCAGAGCCATGCTATTTCTACCATGCAATCCTGCCTGATTTATGGGAGTATATAGTACAGTGAGAGATTGTTGCTCAGTCTGCAAGTTAAAGGTGTTTATATAGGGCTGGCCTCAAATTTGGTACTTGGGAAAATGAGAAAGAGTATAATGAATCATCCTATCTTCATTTGAATAATCTTTAAAGACGCCATCTGAAGTGCCTGTCACAACTCCTAGGTGCAGGGAGGGCCTGGTGACTATATTTAAATACCATTTCTCTGTAACTTATATCGATACACCATGCTGTTCTGACAGCTGCTGCCTTCTTCTGGTCAAATATATCATGCTTCATCGTTATTTTGATGCCACAGGGGTTTTGCTATGGTGTGCATCACATTTATCCTGAGAAGCTTGTTTATTGTTCATAATCTTGTACTTCTATTGTAGGTTCATTATAGCTTGGAGAGTTCTAGAAATTTCTTGTGTTGTTTATGGTAGATTCAGATCCCTTAAACAGGAAAGAAGAAACATTGTTTTATGTTTAGTCTGAGATACATTGATGTTACCATATGTGCTTCTTAACAAAGGCCTTTATTTCCTTAAAATTTTTTTTAATCTTAATACCACTGGGATGTGTTCTGCACCAGAAACAATTTAGGGACAGTGATTTGCACTGTGTTTTAAAGAAAATGTTAGGTTCTATGTGCAGTTTACTTAATTCATTCTGGTACGAATACTTAATTGGCAGACGTATTGGCAATTCGTAGTACTGTATTCAGCTCTGCAAAACTGTGCACGATTAATTGCACATCATGTGCTCGTTTTTGTGTACCTGGCCATGTTCCTAGATGAGTGCCTTCATGGTTTTGGATACTGTCCTTTGCCTGCTGACTGGGAAAATGGAGAAGATGAAAAAGAGCAGGGCATTTTCTTTTGGGCACTAGTTGTCTGTTGGGCCCTCTCCTCTTCTGCTCTCTGATCTTGCTGGAAGATTTCCAAGGACATACAGGTTTAGAAAAGATGTGGTGCTGCTTTTACTGATTTATCGTGTCACGGAAGTGAGCGAAGGAGGAGGACTGGGTTTGGTGCAGAGCAATCCATGGCTTTGAGAAATTGTCAACAAACCATTTGTGAATAACAGAATAACTCTGATGATAAGAGCATTTATTGAATATTTATTATTACTCTGTGCTTTACATGTATTACTTTATTTAATTCACACACATACACAAACCTTATGACAAATGTAGTGTCATGATCTTCATTTTGTGGATGAGGAAATCCAGGCACTTGCAGTTTAAATGACTCGACTATAGGTACTGTGTGGTAAGTGGCAGCACAGGCATGTCAACATAGGCAGTCAGGGAAAGCGACAGCAGGACCCGGCCTTATTCAGAGGCCTCAAGTCTCTCTTCTCTGCTCCTTATTTCTGCCTCCAGTGTACTATTTCTTTTTTTTTTTTTGTCTTTTGTCTTTTTCCGTGTCCGGCCACGGATCGCAACCCTCAGTGTCGCCCCCGTACCGGACCAGGGACCGGCAACGGGATCGCAACCCTTGGTGTTGCTCCCACACCTCGCTCAGCCAGTGAGCGGGAACCGGTCTGTATGTGGGATCAGAACCCTCAGGCGGGAGCGCCGCCGTGCTTTCCAAGCAGTGCACTATCCAGTGCGCCACCGGGCCGGCCCCCGTGTATGTATGTTTTAAGAGTGTTCTAATGCTTAAATCACATAGTTAAACAGGCTTTGCTGAGTTCTTGTTAGCTTTATGCCAAATATTTTAACAATTTTGTGGCTGTTGAAAATGGAATCTTGATTTGTGTTATGTAATCTAGATAGCTGTTGTTATTACATAAGACATTTATTAATTTTATATGTTAATTTTTCTAAATTGCAACATGTGAATTTTATTTTAGTAAGGCGGGAGCGCCGCCGCGCTTCCCAAGCGGCGCACTATCCAGTGCGCCACTGGGCCGGCCCCCAGTGTACTATTTTTACCTTCAACTCACCTTCCATCCCTCTGCTGGTCTGAGTCTATTTTGCGGGTTGGTACCTCTCTTGTAGCGTGCTCGTCTGCCTCTTCCTTTCTGTGTTGTCGTATTTCTAGATTAAGCCTCAGGAATAGGACCACCATTAACCCATTTAGTAAGTTTGTTTGAATTAGAAAGGATTCTCTTCCTTACGTCAATTTTCTTTACATTACCACACCACCTGAAGAACCGCCCAACGTGGCAGCAGTGCTGTTCATGTGCACACACCCTCTCTTGTCCACTCACTGTCCTGCCACTGCACTGTATGTGCCACTTGCTCTGCACACATTCTTGCCGCCCCATCTGCCACCTCTTTTCCAGCCCCAGTGAAGAACCTGTGTCTAGTTCTTCTCACTAGAGGTCAGGATCTGAGGAGACCTCTGAGCAGGTGAAGTCTGGCCAAGGCCCAGCCATGGGCATGTGTATATGGGTACATGTGCCCATGTGCCCGTGTGTGTGTGTGTGTGTGTGTGTGTGATCTCCAGCATATGCACAGTTGTACTGGCCAGTATTTATGATGAATAATTTCTTTTTCTCTTCTCAGGATTCATCCAGAAGCCTCAGGATCTCCATTCCATTACATCACATGCATCACATCATTGAACTTTCAAAACAACCCTGTGGTGTAGGTATTATCCTCATTTTACAGATGAGAAAATTGAGGTCTAAAGAGGTGCCATGAATTTCCCAAAGGTGCATAGCTAGTGAATAGCAGTGCAATCACTGGGACCCGAGTTAGTTTGACACCAAAGCCTGTGCTTTTAAAAGTCATACCAACAATGATTTGTAGTTCATGTTGTAGTGATCTTTCACATCCTTGGTTAAATTTATTCTGAGGTCTTCTATTTTTTTAGTGACTATTGCAAATGGATTAGCTTTCTTGATTTCTTTTTCTGCTAGTTCATTGTTGGAGTATTAAAATGCTACTGCTTTTCAAATGTTGATTTTGTATCCCGCAATTTTACTGAAATTGTTTACCAACTATAAGAGTTTTTTTGTAGAGTCATTAGGTTTTTCTATATATAGGATCATATCATTTGCCAACAGGGACAATTTGACTTTGTCTTTTCCAATATGGATGTCCTTTATTTCTTTCTCTTGCCTGAGGGAGAGGATAAGGGAGGAATTGGTAAAGGGCCACACAAAACTATTACATAGTATAATGGTGAATATATTAATTACCCTGATTTGAGTATCACATATTGCACACAGGTATTGATTTTCAACTCTGTACCACACAGATATGTACGATCAACTATGTTTCTATAAAAAAAGAAACAAAACAAAACAAAATGTAAAAAATCCTATACCAAACTGTTTCCCAATAGGATTATAATAATAATGTACACAAAGTTTGTTTAACCTGCACTTAAAATGTTGTTTACAAAAGTTCTTGAGTTTTTTTTTGTTTCTTGCAATTTTTATTAGTGCAAGAGACAGAATAACTAATTCTTCCTTTTTTCCAAAACAACTCAGTAAAGCTACAGGATGTATGTATTGAAACGTTATCAAATAAAAAAGTATTTCAACTATCATGCTTTGAGTATTAATCCATCATTTGATACAACAAAGCATTAATAAATAAAAACATCATATTGGGTGACAAATTTTTAAGCTTATCATGTTTTCCTCATGACAGAATGTTGTTGTGCCTGGATAACATGTGTTAACTGCAGCTGTGATCTCATAGCAACCCCCTTTTCTGGTTTATCTTTTGCCCATACTTAGCAGTTTCTTCATGTACCTCACTGCCTTGCCCATCACTCTTTATCCACTGTATTTCACATCTTACACATATTTGCAAGCTAATCATTGTTCTTATTATACTCGTTTGAGTTCATAAATCTCTCAGACTCATACTAGCCTTAGCTTTGTCTTAACTGGGTGCTGCTCCTGTCACCTTCTTATCTTTACTTCCTAGTCACCCATTCTAGTTTTTCCTCCACTAACCCAAATACAGTGTTAATTACCCATCAATAAATTCCCAAGCCACTCATGTTTGCAACTAAAACTCTTTGGAAACCCAGAAGTGTATTTACAATCCAGAGTTACTGACACAATAATAAAGACAAGAATAAAACACAGTTTAATTCAACTGACGTTTTCTGAGTACTGGTTGTAAAGTAGTGGATGAGAGTGAGTAGTGAGAGTACTGTCTGAAGAAGAAATCAATGATCAGGGGCTGAGGCCAGGTGAGGGGGTGCCGATTTCTGTGGTTAAGATTTGCAAAAAGACATGAATCATGGAGGTAATCAGATGTCCCTGGAAGTGGGATTGTGGCTTGGATTATGTGATTAATGACATCACGGGATTCTATTCTATGTTGTTAGAACTCAGAAAACTAGAACTATGCCCTATGCAAAGTAATCTCTAAAAGTGAAATTTTAAAGGGCTATGAGAGTGGGTCGACTAAGAAAGGGAGGTGACATAACAAACACAGAAAACAGAGTAGTGGAGTAAGCAGAGGTGGAGAAGCTCTGTGGTCCAGGATTTCCATCATTTTGTCAGGTGCAGGTGCTGTTTCTGGTGACAGGAGGAGTCATCTGATATGAAGGATATGGATTCCAGAGAAGTGGTCCTATTTGATAACATAGTCTACAAAACCAAATGGAGATCTTTTGAGCAACTCATATTTTTATTCCAAAAATGATGCTTTAATTATTAACATGTATTTCTAGATATCTCTATGAGTCATTAAATAATTTTTTTTAGAACTAATTAACTCAGGATAACATGACTAATAAGTTTAAGTCTAAAGAATTGGGGATTGGAGGTAGAAGACAACGTTACCTATTCTTATGATAGGAAGAGTTGTATAAAGGTATAATCTCTATTCTGAATAAAGGTGATTGACAATTATTGTTACCTGTGAAACTGACATGCTCTGCCATAGTTTACAACTAAAAAATATTTGCCAGTCTATGAAATTTATACCACAGTACGGTTTCAAAACAAGTATTATTTTTAAAGAGCTTTCTACTCCAGTTATACCATAGATTTTTTTTCCCTCTTACTGGATATAAAAACTTACTATTTTGATATGGTATTTTAATCTTGGTATTGAAATTGTAAAGTCAATACACTATCAGTTTGACCACCCTTTGTCCTAAGTACCTTAGAAAATATTGAAGTGTAATACATAAGAGCTTTCTAAGGCTGGCTGCAGGCTTTCTGCAGAAAAGTTTGAGTTGTTGCTACAAGAGAAGAAACATTTCCCCTCACTTATTAGCAAATACTAATTCCATTATAAATATACATGCATGTTGACCTTTTAGTTTCTCTTCCAGAATACAAATTTAATAGAGCCCCCACATAGTTGCACATGCTGTGAGGGTATTTTGGGGCACTGGAACGTAAATAGGGACATCAATCTACCCATTTCATTTCAGAGCCCCTGTATGGAGCCTTATTGCTGGCTTCTTTGTGGTACCAGAACAGAGCTCATGTCAGTCAGGAGGCCTGGGGTTTAAAGATTTCTTCATACTGAAGCTCTGCAAGCTTGAATGAAGAGAAGGTTAGAGTCTTGGACAAATAAAACAAATACTGAATGGCTTATAAAGTCTTTGCTTTTGACTTGTAAAACAAATATGCCTGCATGGTTAGACCATGTGTACATTCATATAGGCTTGCATGATACAGCTGCTAAGCTAAGAAAACAAAAACAAAAATAAAAGTCCAATTTTTTTTCTATAGACAGGGAAGACGAATATTTATTTGTATGATTTTGAAGGCCTCTCTTAAATATGCTGCTGCCAATCAAAACACAAATTGGGAGATTGAATAACATAGCATTTTCATTTAGAAAGGTGTTTTCAGATTCCTTGCACCAAAATTTACTCTGCGTGTTCAGCAATTGCAGCATAATTATTGCTTCCATGTTCTGACATGCCAGAATTAGACACTGTGCTGTCATCTTTATACTTTGTATATATCATCTATAATTCTCGCCACAATGATGTAAAGATTTTAGCAAATGAAACAGAGCCTAGAGCCTAGAGAAATTAGGTATAAACTTCAGGTTCAAATTCTGACTCTCTACATACTCTTAGCGTACTCTTGAGGAAGCTTCATAATGTAGGGGAAAAGAAATATCTTTCTTTCCTATTGCTATTTTCATGGCTGAGGTCCATAAAACAGACAGATTAACAAGAGAAAAGCCTACCAATTTATTTAACATAAATTTATGTGACACGGAGCCTTCAGAAGTGAAGATCAATGAAACAGGGAAACCTGTGTATTTTTATGCTGTTGGATGAAGAAGTTGACAGTTGTGGAGAAGTGTGATTGTGATTAGACACAGGGGGTATGATTTAGTAGTAATAAACTGGGAGGAACTTAGCAAGGCCTGTTTGTTCAGATTTTTCTCTGTGTCCCTGTGTCTGAGTATGTGGCAGGAACCTCTCACATGAGGGTCTTATGGGTAAGGTCAGTTAGATTTTATGGTCTGCTTCAGGGGAAAAGGGATGACAGAAGGTAAGAGTGACCTTTCTGCTTTTGCTGTTTTCTCAAATGCCAAGATTCCATATTTGGGAGTAGTGTGTCCTGAACCCCATTATTAACCTCTTGGGGCTTTAATTGTTTTGTCTATAAAATGTGGACAAAAGTATTATCTATTTCATAGGTTCATTGTGGAGATTAAATGAGTTAATTATATGAATAGATGGACTTATACAAAGCCATTAAAACAATGCTTGACACAAAGTATTACACAGTTTGTTATTATTATATCAACACTATAATTGAGTATGTTTGTTTTTTCTTAAACATCTAAGAACTTTTCAATTTTAAAAATTGCTTGGCTTTAGGCACCTGAGATAGCAGAGAATAAAACAAAACTAAAAATCCTTTCATGAAGCTTCCGTCCTAATAACGATGGACAATTCATAAAGAATGTAAGTAAAATACACATTATGGAATATGGTGAGAGTGCCATAGAGAAAAGCAAAGCAGGGAAAGGGGATGGAGGGTCAGGGTTGGGGTTTCCACTTTTAAATATGGTGATCAAGGGATACCTTTCTGAGAAGAGCACACCTGCACAAAGACTATGCACAAGGAGGTGAGGGAGACAGTCACGTGGATATCTGGGGGAAGAGCAGACCGAGAGGGCAGCAAGGGCAAACACTCTGATGTGGAGGCACAGCTGGCAAGGCTAAGGAGGGGCAAGGTGCTCAGCAAGGTAGGAGCATAGTGGGATGAGTTTACAGGAGACAGAGTTAACAGGAGCCAGATCCTGAAGGACCTCGGAGGTCATCATAAAAACCTTGGCTCTTAGACTGAGTGAGATGGGAGCTATGAGAGAATTTTAAGCAGGAAAAGATATAATCTGACTTATAAGTTTTCCTAGTATCCTGGTGGCTGCAGCATTGAGAATTCACAGAAAGAATTAGGGAGACCACTTAGGAGGCTATTGCAATAATCTCGGCCAGATGTGATGGTGGCTTGGGCCAGAATGGTATTGGTGCAAGTGGTGAGAAGTGGTGGGACTATGGACATATTTTGAAGATAGAGTTGGTAGAATTGTTCTTCTGTTGGATGGGAAGTAAATGTGTGTGTGCAAGAGAGAGAGGAGCCAAGGGTGACTCGAAGGGTTTTGGCCCGTGCAACTGGAAGAATGAAGCTGCTCTGCACTAAGAAAGACTGTTGTAGGTGGTTTGGGGAGAAGGGTCAGTCTGGGAGTTCAGTTGGGGTATGCTACACTTGACACACTTACCAGATGCATGTGGAGATGTTGAGTGGTGATTTGAAGTTTGAGAGGCTGGGTCCTGGCTGGAGATTACGTTTAGGAGTCATCGGCATAGAAATAGTATTTAAAGCATTGGGACTGGACAAGATCACCAAAGTACTGAGTGTAGAGAGAAAGTAGGTAAAGTCCAGGGACTGAGACCTGGGTTTCTCCATCATTAAGGAGTTGGTGAGCTGAGGAGAAACTAGCCCACAGACTGAATGAAGTACCTGGTGAGTCATGAGAAAGTCAGGTGAGAGAGGGGTTTTACAAACCATGTCAAAGAGGAGTAAGTAACCAGAGGTCTCGATTACTGCTGATAGATTAAGTAGGATGAGGATCCAGAATTGACTGTTGGATTTGGTAATGCCAAAGTCATGTTGACAGTGATAAAAACAAGGGGAGTTTCAGTGGAGCAGTGGAGGAAAAAAAAAGTATTGGAAAAGGTAAACTTTATAGTGCAAGAGAGAGGGGAAATCAGCTGGATCAATGTTTTCCAGCAGGCAAGAGATGATGATATCTGTGGTAAAGTAGAGGAGTTAATCTTAGCTGGGAACATGGACAGTTAATCGTAATGAGCAAGGAGGAAGAGAAAATAGGAGGCTCGGTGGGTGTATATAGTAGTAAAACTTGTGAAAGTCATATTCTGATTGTTTTATTTTTCTCAGGGAAAATAAGAAAAAATTTTGGGGAAGGAAGACCAGGGTTTCCTGTGATGAAGACATAGACAGTGGTAAAAGGCATGATGAAATCTGTCCTCCTGGTCCCAAGGCCAGTAGTGGCTAGACTGTCAGTGCTGAAGCAGGAGGAAGAGATGGCAGTCTTCTCAGGAGTTGCAAAGTTTTGATGTTTTTATTAGATGCTAGGCAGTGGAGGTGCAGAGGATAGGGGTTAGCCTTATTCCCCACACCCGAGGATGCCTCTGGACTCAGAAGATGGAAAGCTGGAGAGGGCAGAGGACACCGTATGAGGCTTCCTCTTGGTCCCTGCTGGTGGAGGGAAGTCCCCCCAACCCCCAGCCCATCACCCCATAGTTCCTCCATACTTGGTCAAAGGCAAGTTCTAAAAATCTAAAGGCAAAAGCCATAGATCTGAATAAAACAGAAAAGGATTTAAATAGTAAAGTAATGCTACAGTCGTCATAATGAGTAGTCAGAAGATACAGGGTCCAAGGGCTGTGTCTTCAGCAGTGTGTGCAGATCCAGAGAGCTTTGGTTTTGAATTCGTTTCTCATTCGTTTCCATCTTACTGGATTCATAGCATGGGGTCAGTCCATTTCTATTTCGATTAACTCTATTTCCATCATTTAAAGGTTACCAAATAGGATAGATAATTTTGACAACGTAGCAAAATTATCCATTATTAATGAAGGACTGCAAGTTACCAACTGAAAGTAGAAAGGTTGGATTTCACAAGTTAAAGCTGCATTCAACCAATTAATTATTTAAATGTAACTACAAAATAATCAGAGTGATTTTCTTATGCTGAGCCAGTGTCATTATTTTGTAGTCAAAGATTTAATATTGCATACTCATTTTATAAAAGAGCAAAGCTTTTTGGGAGTCTCCATGTAGAAGTAAAAATAACATCATTTGACTTTCAAACTGGTTGTTACAGTGTGCTATGTGCCAGATATACTGTCTTCTTTATTCTTTAAAATAATTCTGGGACATAGGTATTAAGAATCCTATTTTATAAATAAGAAAACTTCAGATCAGACAGGTTAGTAACTTGCCCAAAGTCAAACAGCTAGAAAATGGTAGAGCAGGAGCTTAAAATCGGAGTCTGTCTGCTTTCCAAGTCTATGCTAATAACCACATTCTATGGCATTGTTTCAACTCTCTATACCTTGAACTTCTCACTCTATATAAATCAGTCAGACAACTTTATGAGTAAGCAGGGAAAATGATTATTTATGCACAAAAGATTAACTCTGTTCCCTCTCATTTCATCATTATAATTTTAATCTTTTGGGTCATGATGTTTTAGTCTTTGTGAATCCATTTATGTTTAAAATGCTATTACTTAGGGGAAGGGTCATTCATTTGGCTATTATCAGCTAACATCTTGATTATTAGTCAACTACATCACATTAATTACCAGACAGATTGCCCCAGGAGTGAAAGTATTCCTCCAGGATAAGACCTGGAGGTTGGAGAGAATTCATGGGGAAAAGTGCTAAGATGAAGGACATGTAGACTGGAAGGGAGGTTGTAGTCCAGACATTTTACCTACTTCACAATTTGATTGAGTCTCCTCTTTCAGGACTGAGGAGAGAATTTTACAGCTGGGATGGCTCTTGCAGATCAAGCAGCTCCATACATTCATTTTGCAGATTACAAAATCTAGCTCCAAGGCCACACAGCAGGATGGAGGTAGAGGTAGGATTACAATTGTTGTCAAGTCATAGTCTTTGAATCTTGATACAGTAGGGAACTTCCTTCCCTATTTTGGAATCCGAACCATGAACCTCTCTTACCTCATTTTCTTAAGGGTTTTTTTTTTGACATAAGACACACTGAATTGCTCTTTAGTTCCTACCCCTCCCCCTATTTTGTGAGGTTCCAAATCCAAGGCCACTAATCTGTATATTTTACCCCAAGAATCAGGCAAAGAAGATCAGTCACTGCCACACTTACAGGTCTAGAAAAAAAAAAAAAGGATGTGAAGCTAAATTGCATGATCTTACTTGAAACAATTCCAGTTGTCAGGATTAGGGATCCTTCCAGGAGTAAGATGTACAAGCAGCAGTTCTAGAAATGCTCAGAGGCAATTAACTCACACTCAGCCATCTCGAATTCACCTTCTTCCAACAGGAATTCAAAATCTTCTTTGTTCTTATTTTCTGGCATTGTTTTGATTTGGGAGTATAAATGGAAAACAATGAATAGACAGTAATGGATTTTAAATACACAGAGAATCAACTTTTGTTTTAGAAGCTGTATATGGAAGCCTATAAAATCTTTCATCCAAGTAGTTTTAATGATATATGACCAAAAAAATCTTCTGAATGGTTCAAATTTCCATATGTGATTCTGTTAATTACCAAATTTACCAAATTTGGTAACAAAAATTTGTGTTGTACAAATTTGTGTTGTACAAATTATACCAAAAAAGTAGTAGAGTTGACTCCAAAACCAACCTCCATTTATCTAATCATTTTTCTAAATCCTGCTTCATCTACTGTGGATACTAAGCAAGACAGAAATAAATAGATTTAATGTCCTTTGAGGTTATGTGGAATTTGAAACTATTGATGGGAATTTACCAACGAGTTAGTCAATAGGTCATTTGTCTGGGAAAGTTGTAGCCGGACAGATATTGAACTCTGCGTCTACATCTGGTTCTCATCTTTGAGTCCTGTTTATAATCAAACTGATCAAATTGACAAGGGAGCCTAGTATCTCTTTGCTGTTTTATATAGGTAGCTGGCCTATGCAGAAAAGGGGAGGGGAAAGTCTGAGTGTGGACTACAGGGTTGTTAAATATGTGTGTAATTTAACCTAATCTCACTCTTGAAGGCATTTTTGGGTGTAGAGGACAGGGAAGAAAGGCTGCCTACTATGGATTCAACCCAAATGGTGACAGGAAATTCACCCACTAGATAGTTGCCAAACTGAATCTAATTATGGCCAAAATTAATTTGGTAAAAATGCAAAATTTATTTTAAAAGTTATTAGAAAAAAAGGAGAGCATGACCTTGAACCAACAGATATTGGGGTATTTCACAGATGCTTATAAAAATAACAAACATTTCAAACATCCTGGAGACTTTAAAGTTTCTTTCTAGTTTGTCCATTTATTCTGCATCTTGGATCTATTACTAAGTGAGAAAATGAATCTGACTTTCTAGCAGAGTTTACTACTTACAGAGAGAGGTATGTTTAAGACAAACCAATCTCTGTAACAAGAGGTGGTTGGTATCAGAAACTTGCTGGTTAGATTTACGATGGTTGTCATTATTCCTAGTCCTTTGCTATATATCTAAATCCATGCAACAATAAAATTAATGACTTCATATTTATAAAATGTTTCCAATTATTTTTGGTATTATTGACAATTGGAGAGTAAGAAACATGGGTACACTAAAATGAATTATTCAGATCATTAGTATAGTCATGGGGGAGTTTAGACATACATTTTTGATATTAGAATGCTTTTTTAAAATATTAATTATATTTTAATTTCTGTGCTGATAGTAATTAAACTTAGCTTTAATTATAGTCCACTTAGCTTCTTGTAAGTCTTCTTTCCTCCTCTATAAGGTTTTCAAGTTTATTTAGGAAATTCCCATCAGCTATTGAATCTCTGGAGTATTCTTCAGTTATGAAATAATGATTAAAAAATGTAAAGAAGAAAGGACAAAGGATAAATTATTGGGATGAATTGAAAAAAAAAAGTCTTGCTTCTAGTATTTTTAATCTATCCTTAACAAATTTGAATTCATCTTGCAAGACTGAAATAAACACTTTTAAATAGAAGACAATTAGAACTTGTTAAAGATTTCTGTAATTTTTTATTTTGTTTTTGTAGATAGAATGTAATTGATTTAACAATGGGGGAGTGGTGGTAAAGAAAAGAAGTAAATCTTTGTTTAAAATGAATTTTTAAAAATAAAATACCACCGATAAGTCCACTGTCACAGATGGTAGTGACAGAGTATAATACTTGTGAGCAGGGTATGCAGAGCCATCGGTAGTCACAGACACCCACTGTTTCAGGAGGAGCTGTTGTCTACTACTTAAATACTAAGTGCTATTTCTATTTTGGCCTTATTTATTGGAGCTAACTGGGTAGTGGTACATCATCAAAAATCAAAGGAGAAAGTCAGGCTGTGGAGAAACTGTCCGCATTGCTCTCTTGGTGTCTCAGGTATCCCTCTCAGGTTGGGTGATACCACTACTAGAAGTGTGGCAAAATGAGGACAGTGAGCAGAGAAACCAGTGAGTCAGTCTCTGTTGAAAATACAGATTTTTTAATTTTTATATTTGTGTGAACAGGAATGGACTTTCTGCTGAGAACCACCCCACGTCACACCAGTGGAAACAGGCTCAATAGCTTAGATAACATAGGACCACTGTGATTTTGTACAAGTGAAGAAAGGAACCTATATCATTATGTCTTACCAAGGAGAGAGGGGAAAAGTAATCATATCTCTACAAAAGTAAACAGAGAAGACTAGAAAATTTTGGAACTAAGGAGTATATAAGCAGACAGAAAGGGAGGAAATAATATACATTAAAGGATAGATTTTTGATCTTCCACATTTGCTATAAACCAGGCACTTAATTTTAATTACACGTTTCTTTTTTTTTTTTTGCCTTTTTCTCCATCTTTTTCTGCTTGTTTTCTTTCTTTCTCTATCTTTTCTTTTTTTCTTTCTTGTTTATTTGAAGGTGAGAGTGAGAAAAACATTGGAATACTCGTTGTCAGGAGAAAATAGATGAGGGTAGATATAAAATTTTCCCTCCCATTTTATTTGACAAAAGAATAAAAGGTAATAACTGTTGACCCTCAGTATTAACTTTGTTCTCTTGGGTAAGCATATAATTAGGTTGTTCTTTAAAATGCATATTATGTAGTTGGCAGCAAACTCTGGCTCAGATCGGATAACTCCTTATGTAGGCAGCTTTTAAAATGCACATCATGTACCAAAGGAACTTTTCTGGTCTATTGGGTAAATACGTATTAAAGTAATTTTTAAAATACTCAATAGGCTGGAAGTGGTCAATAGTTTAATGAATAGTCATGCATTTTTAAATGTGTATTATTATTTATGCACTGACCCAAGTGAGAAAATCTTTTAAAAATGGCATATTCCTGATGACTGTGTAATTTTGCAGTAAAATCTTAAAAGTATTTCGGGAGAACAGGAGCCAATTTTAAAATTACATTATCTCCTCGTCCCTTCACCTCATTTTTCCTGCTTGCTCTTCCTCTTATGGGATATAGTTTAATAGGCTCATTTTATGGCTTCCCTGCTGGCCTAATTTCATTTTCATAGATTAAATCTGATTTACATTCTAATTGTAATTTTAGTGTAGAATTTATCCCATATGGATTCATAGTGTTGGGCACATAGTAGGCACTCAGTCAATATCTATCGAACAGGTTGTTTCTATGTTTTCATGTTATTGCAAGCAAACGTTAGCCTTGTGCCTGCTGTATGCTGAGCACGGTGTAAGGGATCAGCAAGAGGCTTCTCTCCAGCACAAAGGTGAGACTCTTCACCTCATAAGTAGATCCAGGCTCCACTTCCAGCTTTATCACTTACCAGCTGCCACTCCTTTGATAAAGTAGCTCCCTCTGTCTGCATCTGTTTCCTCATCTACAAAAGGAAAACAGTAACTCCAATCTTGCAGATTTCTCATAGGGATGTGTTGAAACTTTACATGTAAAATGCCCTGAACAGAACGTGATTCCCAGCGAGCCCTCAGCAGTGCTTTTTCCCTCTGTACCTGAATTCCCACCCAGAAATATGGGAAATATTTATTTGCAGACAGCAGAGGTTTCCAAACTCCACAGTGCTCTAATCACAAATATTAAAAAGAAAATTTCAGTAATCCAATGAACAGGCATCCTCCTCCTCTGGTGTCAGCAGCTTCTCAAAGCTTCTTTTCCAGACTAGGACCTCCAATGGGCTCGGACCTCTGCCATCAATACTAGTCTGGGTGTCTTGGGTGTCTGTGTGCTCGTCCTGCCCTCCCCTCCTGGGGTGGCTCCAATGTTTGTGATCTTTCCTTCCTTCACTCCCGCCTGTGGCAGTACAGGAAGTAGACCTCAATGTCCCTTCCGAATTTCAGAAAATTCCACAAATAAACAACCAACCCTCCCAAAAGTCAGATTGTCTAAAAGCAAACAGAGGTAATGAGATCTGCTGCAGCACAACACAGTAAACAGGGTCTTGAGAATAAGTATTATTAACATGCTCACTGAGCTGCCTCAAATCCTATTTGGAGGGAGGCATAGTATAAATAAATAAACATGCTCCCTGGATCTTTACTGTCTGAGGTTTAGTGAACTACTTCAATCTTGGAAAGGCATTAAAATTGCTGGCACATAATTGGATTTGTTTTGCTGTTAGGGTGCAGATCTCTAACTTTTTCCATGTATGCTACATTCACAGAGCAGAAGCAGTCTTATCTTGATGGATATGCTATCAGTGATATGGTTCCTGGGGTCACTTGAAGGGTAGAGAAGGGGAACTAGGGGATGTAGAAGCCTGTGTTTTCACCTGTTCTCACTGCCTGCCTGTTTTTTCAGCAAATGCTGGATAAATGCACAGGCTAGTCCTTCAAGTGCTCATTGCTATTGTGCTGGCACTGGGTGTTTTCCACCACTAGATAGTTTACATTTTATACTGTCCAAGGTGTTGGACTAGAAGGCTTTGACTTGTTAAATGGCCTTATTTGAAATGGAAATCATGTTTGTTACTTACTTTTACCTATTGGAAGATTATTTTTATACATTTAATCTGGTAAGCTAGTCTAAAATATATTGCATATGTCTATGGATGAATGTTGTTTGTAAGAAATTATTTTTAAACCATCAGCAGGAGAAAGTTGTTTTCCCTTCCCAATAAAAATGGAGAGATAGAGAAGAGTTAGAAATTTTTCCAAACATCTATTTAAAGGAAAAATCAGAAATATCAGAGAAAAGATGATGTTGTGTTGGATGTATACTTTTAGAGACAAACTTGGTTCCTATTAGAACTTTGGGGCACATATAAACCTTGGGACAAAGACAGCAAGCAGAGGCCTGAAGGGGAAATTTTAGTTTTAAGGCAAGCTGATGGGAAAATTGAAAGGGAAAGAGTGATTATGTTTAGAAGGAAGCCTCACGTTTAAGCTCTGGGTCTCCAATAGAGGGAGCCCAATGTAATTAGTGGAAACAGTTCAGTTTGGAGATAGCTGGAAAGACACAGCCTGCCCTGTTTGCTAATAGAACTCTTTCAGGGTAGCTGAAAGGACAGATATCAGAGAGATTATGTGAAGAAGGCATCCCCGCAGCAATACATACAGATATAACAGAAACTTTTCTTGTTGCAACTTCTGAGACTCTTGCTTGAGGATAAGAAAAGGGCTTTCACAAAGTGCTCATCGAAGGATATGAGTTGAAGTGATGAGAAGGAGTTAACGTCCATGGCATGAATGTGTTTAAAAATGGGAGCGTGTAAAAGGGACCTAAGAGAAGGTGCAGAATAGATTGTTTTACAAGAAAAGCAGGTGCATGCCAGAGGCAAGGATATTATATGATAAGCAGGGATGACCTAGATGCACTCAAAATCTATAATCTCAGATAAAATAGGTGGTTCTGGAATCAAGACCAAAAGGTCACAGATAGCCCTAGGAGACCAAAATTCTTAAGATAAATGTGAACAAAATAGCAAAAATGTGGAGACATGTGCCTGCCAGTGGAATACTGATAGGCATACTTCAACACAACTTTTGGGAGTCTTCAGGGAAAAGTGAAAACTGAATGTACAATTGATTGGGAATAAATCAGACCCTGAATACCCTCCCTGGACACTTCTGGAAGTGCAGAATCTCTCCTGCCCTTTCTGTTCACTTAGAGCATCTTATTCATTGGGCAGTGCTTGCTCCTCTGGCTTCTGCCTGGCTGTGAAGGGACAGGTTACAATCTTAGATTTGATTTACTCCCTTCCTTCCAATTCAATGTGGTTTTACCAAAAGCAAAATTAACAATTTCTACCAATTGTCACTTAAATAAGAGATTTATTACTTTTTCTTTAGCCAAAGGAGGAAATTGTGCCTAAAGGAATATTGCCTTCAATATTGTCTTTGGTGGATTGCTTGGCATGTCTGAGAATCCCTGCAGGCCTGAGACCACAGGAATGCCCTAAGACAGGAAATAAGAGGCCTGACCAGTTGAGAAAAAAGGCTTCCAGATTACTTATCTCTGGTCCAGCCCCTCCAACCAGTCTTTTTTTCTTTTCTTTTTTTTTTTTTCTTCCTTCAAAGCCTTTATATTTTTAGAGCAGTTTTAGGTACACAGCAAAATTGAGAGGAAGGTACAGAGATATCTCATATACTCCCTGCCTCCTCGTATGGATGGCCTTCCCCACATCCTTCACCAAAGTAGTACATTTGTTAGAGTTGATGAACTTACACTGAGACGTCAAAATCACCCAAAGTCCATAGTTTACTTTAGGGTTCACTCTTGGTGGTGTTCCTTTTGTGAACTAAGGTACAGTGACATATATGCACCATTATAGTTTCACACAGAGTATTTTCACTGCCCCAAAAATCCTCTGTGCTCTACCTATTGATCCCTCTTTTCCCCTTAACCTATGGCAACCACCGATTCTTTTACTGTCTCCATAATTTTGCCTTTTCCAGAATGTCATGTAGTTGAAATCTACATGACAGATTGGTGTTAGTAATATGCATTTAAGGTTCCTCCATGTCTTTTCATGGCTTGATAGCTCATTTCATTTTAGCACTCAATAATATTCCATTGTCTGAATGTACGATAGTTTATCTATTCATGTATCAGCCTTGTTTTTACAGTGTTTATAGTTTCACTGGACTGGAAGACTGACAACCAAATGCCCTCTGGTACACGTATTCTTTAGTAAGTTCAAAAATATATAAAAATTCTTCTCTAATTAATAGAAAGCAAGGGGCTGGGATGATGAAATCAGCTACTAAGCAAACCCTGGGATTTGATACCAGTTTCTGCTCCCTTAGACGGCATTCTGTTTTTGGGAATGAGAAAGCACGAAGTAGCCAAAGACAAGGTAGGTCTAAGACAGTAATCCTTGATCTTTATCTCTGCCTCTCTCCCTTCCTTATTATCACTTAGGACTGTGCTCTCTTAGTAGAGAAAAGAGCAGGGTGGACATGCTCTCCTGTGGATTACAACAGGCTGTGAATTCTTAGTGAATGGATTGAGTGGAGTCAGAAGTCTTGGAGCATGGGAGTGAGTGAGTGGTAAAATGGCAGAGACAGGGCTAGATTTATTTTGAAAAGAATAAATATAAAAGAAATACAGGGCAGACTTGGCAAAGTCACTTTTTTTTTTTTTTGAGCAAGGTCCTCTGCACATTTGAGGACATAGGAAAACCTGTGCATAAGGGTATGGAGAAAAGTATGCATATTAGTGTGAAAGGGGAAAAGTAAGTCTGGTTCTGCCAACCATTAGTTCTGTGACAATGAGAAAGATACCTACGCTTACATAATTTAATTTTTAATTTTCATGTTAAAATTGGTTGTTAGTTTAGGTCATGGGTTCTCAGCTCGGGAACATCAGAATCATCTGAGGGGCTTTTCTTGAAAAAAGCTCGATGTTTGAGGTTGGAACATGTACATGCAAGTTTTTATAAAGGTCCCAGATGATTTGGAAATGTCGTTTCTGTGGGTCAGAAGTTTGAACGTGGATTAGTTGGTCATCTCCAAGGCTCTAATCAAAGGTTAATGGGCTGTGGTCTGATATGAGGCTTGACAGGGAAAGGATTTGAGTTCAAGCTTACTTTTTGTTGGCAGCAGTTGGTTTCTTGTGGGTTTCTGGACAGAAAGCCTCAGTTTCTTGCTGACTGTTGGTTAGGGGCTGCCCTCAGTTCCTGCCTTGGGGGTCTTCCCAACATGGCTTCTCACTTCCTCAAAACCAGCAAGGAAGGAGTCTCCTCAAAAAAGGAGCATTACAATTTTATTTAACGTAATCATGTACTTAAAATCACATACATCCTGTCACCAGTGCTGTACTCAGTTAGTAAGAAGCAAATCACAGGTTCTATTCACACTCAGGAGGAGGGAAATAATTAAAGGCATAAATACCAGAAGGCAGGAATCATGAGGGCAATTCTAGATTCTGTCCACCATACCTGTTATCTAAAACCCTTTGAATGCCTTTAATTTTAATTGCTAAAAATGAGTAAAGCATTTTTATTTATTCATTTAACAAATGTTTCATATGCTAGACACTATTCTTAAATACAATTCTTGTGTTTGGTAACAGATATATAAGTAATTATAATGAAATATAGCAAATTCTGTATGAAGCATGGGATAAGCCCAGATATGCCTGATGTAGATAGTTGATTTTTATTATTAAATTTGGACCAGATTCTAAGAGAGATTATTAAAGGGATGGTTTGGTATACTGGATGGTTTGGTATACTGTGAGTGGAAAAACAGCATTTATCAAAAAACATCAAAGGTTTGTGGGACCAAGTTAGGCCACACTGGCCTCATTTGTTTTTTCACACAAAAGATTGTGAGGATAATTTGGTAGGCTTAGAATATTCGGACCAAAATATTTGGAAAGAGGTTTCTGTTTCTATCTGAAAATAG